AACTAAAAAGTATTATACCATGACTAGAAATATTGTGTTTTCACAACCGACCCCGTGATTAACTTTGCTTATTGTTTATTGCTCCGTCCTAGGAATTTATCTCCCTACACTAGCAAGCGAGATATAAGTATTCAGAAATTCTTGAAACATGTACATAAAAAATGGTACATAGCGTCATTATTAATATGCAAAATATTAAATATAATAATAATAAAGTGTCAGTCACTTAAAAAATCGTCAATATCGCTACTGTCGCCAATTAGTTCAATGATCCACTCCGCGGCTAATCGTTCTGGATAAATATTTTCTTCTTTTATTGCTTGTTTTTCACAGTTTAAGCAGCAACCTCTTACTGAATTATGTTTATGGTACTATCACTAAATTTTGGTGTATACTACTGCGCTTATATGCGCTTTCAACTCCGACCAGATCATCTCAATCGGGTTAAATATACAATGATACGGAGGTGATCTCAACATTTCATGTTACATTTTGTTGTGCTATCGAGCCACGAATATGTTGTTTACAAATCGAAGAACTATGTAGAAGACACAAAAATACAAGAAGAAAAATGTTATTAATCGACAGGCATACAAGACAAAAATAATTATTTTCAAACTTACCTGTGAGATAAATAGAGTACGGGTACTTAGCCTTAACCTTTGAACTATCCAGTGAAAACAGCCTCGCAGGGCCAAAGCTCAAAAACCAGGTACATAAACACGTACTTACTGGAAATGCGGGTACATATCACTAGCATCAATGCTTGATCAAATTTAAAACCGTCCATTTCAAACCGTAAAACACTTAAAACGTCAAAGCAATAAATGCACTATAATTTTAGTCGTACAATAACTATTTTAACTGCTTATTTGGATAAAGTTTGTGTTTGTTTTTTATGAACCTCTTAACATCTATTGAAGTTGCTGTCATGGATCACCATTGTCGCTTAAGGTCTCAGGAATTAAAATGTTTTTAACCTTCCTAGTCACTTAAAAGCATCAGTTTGTTAATAAATCAAAGCAAAGCCTATTGCTTAATGTCAACTTCTATTCCTTAAGAGGATATTCTGATTGCGATTTAAGGTAATATTACTAAAAATTGCTTATATGTACTTGCATTATCTCTTATCTTGCATTAACTAGAAATTACATTTTCTTGCAGCAGTTGGTGAATAATGGCTCATATGGTGAAAGAAAAGAATCTGCAATAATTCACAATTATCGGTGAACGGAAAGGTCATTATTTCAAATTCATATAATTGCCTAATTTCACGAAACTATAAATTGTTAAGAGATATATAATGACTGGAATTGTAGAAAAGGAAATCAGCGCATCCAGTGCGACCTTCCAAAAAAAGTTAAATAAGCCCAACAAAAATTCGTGATTTGAAGCTCACTCTTTCTATTTTAAAACAGCTACAAACTGCAAAAGCTTTGAAATTGTTTGTTGTCGAAGGAAATACTTAATTAAAGAAATAGTTGATTGCTACATTCAATTTACATATTTATTTATTAACCCAAAATAAAGTGTGTATAAATGTGTGTCAAAACATGATCCAATCACCTGTATATATGTATGTATTTTTATCGTCCGCAGAGTTCTGAACCAGTTATTATACTATTTTTAGGGATGTCTAAGAATGGATCAAATTTTATCAAAAACATTTAGACATTTGCTAAAAAATGTAGTGCAAATTTTAAGGATTGTTTACCAATTTTACCATTTACCATTACCAAAAATATTTTCATAATAAAATTTTGATAATAATAAACTTTTTTTTCAACATTAGTATTTTCTTCATTATTTAGTTCGTGTTTTAGAGAATCGTTGTATAGATTCGAGATCATTTATTTTATATGCTTAATGCACCGGGTGTTTCATTCAAAATGATGAAGTCCACGAAAAAAAGAAAGTAACACGCTGTATATATACAAATATAATATTTTACTACTTTTGTCTTTACATTTTTTTGATATTCTTTAAAAGGTGTCAATCATCTTAGTGAACGGACCACCCTGTACATCTCATAAGCACGACTTTCTTATATTTATGACCATTAATGGGATAAATTTATAAATAGACGCGATTAGACCACTCGCAGATGTCGAGAAGCCATTTTAATGAAATTTTAGTGCTTTTTGGATACTTAAAACTTATTCTTTCAAACTAACCAAAAAATTAAAAACAGTAATTATATTTTTCCTGATTTTGTAATTATTAATAACAATTTGATAACTGTAATTCACAAATCATAAAAACTGCATCAAAATATTCTCCTTTGAACCGTTAAATCTCTTTATAATACGAAGTACCAATTTACCTGGCATTATGCAAAAATGACTACTATTTTGAGTAATTCGCAAATTGACTACGCTGTTTCAGAAAATCTGCAAAATATCCGATGCGTTAATCAGTTTGAAGATTAAAAGTTTATTTATTTTTCACAATGACTAGACTAGACAGAGAAAATTCAAAATTCATTTTTTGCATTTTTTGTCCAGATTGTACAAAAAGTGAATTTTTTTCAAAAATTGGAAAATTTATTGCATTTAATATCTAAAGGGACCCTGTCTGGCCCTTTTCGACTCAAGCGACCCAAGCGAGTAAAGGTGGTGTTGATGTCATTTACAAGCAAACCTAAATGGAATTAAAAAAATGGGTGAAAATTATTTTTGTTTTGTGTTTGAAATAACTGCACTCCCATTGATTGCAGTCTTAGGGGAAACCATTGAATTCTCGTACATCCTATTTAATTGCATTCAAACAATAGAAGAAAAGCAGCAATGAAAGTGTAACCAGATTTGTTAAAGAAACATTAACCAACAGTATTCAGACAAAAAAATTCATACTTCTTTGATCGGATGCTGCAGATGGTTAAGGGATCCCAAAATTTAAAAATATTTCATTCTAACTTAATATTTTATTAGTAGTAACTAAGTAGTAAGCATTTCTAAAAGTATCCTAACCTAACAGTGAAAGAGAATTTAATATTCTTAAAAAGAAAATTATTCTTTTGTTGGCATAGCACCCAAGAAATTGGAAGCTTTTTTTTTGTTTTTTTCACAGATGTGGCTCTAATAAATCAGTTTTAGACAGAAAGAAAAATCAGGAGTTTTTGCAGGCAATTTCCCAAATTTACAAAGAGAAATGGATTTGTATGAATTAGAAACGTACTTGACTCGAAAACTAAAATGGTGTCCTATAACTTCGGTAGATTTTTTAAAGAAAAATCCACAGGCTATTGTAATACTGCTTATAAGACTTCTGGATTCTGGATTTTCTGGATTGAAGACATTAATCCCGAATAAAAGTTTAACTAGGCCAAGGGAAATTGTTTTTGAACAGGGATTGGTGAAAACTCATAAAGATATAGCCAGTGAATTTAATAAATATTTTGTGCAGAGTATTAAAGATATCATATAGGCAATAACTAGATCATCCGTCAATTTGATGTGTTTAGATCAAAACCAGGATACGAAAAATCACTGCATCACAGAGTTCGTGAGGTTTGAAAACATTTCATTAGTTCACTTAAAGAGGATCATGCCTGGAATGAAAAATGTTGGTGGGGCATTTCAACAAGAGTCTTCAAGGATGCTTTTGCGAAAGTTGGAAATAGAATATTGGACGTTATCAATGCGTCATTTTCTAAAGGCCAGTTTCCAGAGGAATGGAAGTCATCTTTGGTGGTTCCGGTGCCGAAGGTTCCAGGTACTAAGCTGCATTCTAATTTCAGACCGATCAACACAGTACCAGTGTACGAGAAACTATTGAAACTCATTGCAAAGGAGCAGCTGCATACACATTGTGATGAAAATAATTTAATTGTCTCTAGTCAATCGGGATTTCGAACGGGATATTCTTGCGAGACTGTGATGGTTAGTATCTGTGATAAATTTGTTGGGACTGTTGATAACAATAGTTTTGTTTTGTCTGTGTTTTTGGACTTTAGAAGAGCTTTTGAGACTGTCAATAGGGATATTTTAATAGCATATTTTAAAAGCACTTAGCCCTAGATTGGCTAAAATCTTATTTATCTGGCAGAACACAAAAAGTAAAGTATGCGACATCTGTGTCTGAGTCTATCTTGGTGGACCATGGGGTACCACAAGGGACTGTTTTAAGGCCATTATTGTTATTGAAACGTGAACCAAAAAAAGAAATAGCATTTGAACATAAACAAAAAGAACAAAAGTTCAATATACAGCTTTTACACGATGAGTCAATACGGTACTTATATCAGCGAAGAATAGACCAAAAACTGGAAGAATTCAGCCTCGACGACCTAGGGACAACATACGAGCACATAAAAACATGCATCAAAGAAGTAGCTAATGAAGCTCTCGGAGAGAAGGAAGAACCACAAAACCAACATAAAATAGACATTAATAAATACCTAAGGGAAATCATAAATGTTAAAAACCGTTAAAAAGATGTTTGAAAGAAACCAAATATCTATAAAAATCGAAGATAGACTCTCAAAAAGCTTTAAAACAACAAAAGGGCTGCTACAAGGATGCTCTACATCACCAACATTGTTTAAAATATTTCTAGAGGAGATCTTAAAACCATGGAAGAAAAAATGTGAACAAATGGGAATTCCAATCAGAGGCGACTGTCTTTACACGTTAAATTTCGCGGACGACCAAGTTGTACTCGCACAAGACGAAGAAGACCTAAGTTACATGTTACGAAAACTGAAGGAAGAATATGAAAATAATGGAATGGAAATAAATTTTTCGAAAACGGAATACCTGGCAACAACAGAAGATGGAGAAAACTACCTACAAGTCGATGAAAATCATCAAATAAAGAGAACCAAAAATTTCAAATACTTAGGTTTCATAATATCTCAAAAAGGGACAACAGAGGAAGAAATGAACAGTAGACTAGACCAGACGCGAAACTGTATCAGACAACTAAATTCAATACTCTGGGATAGACACATCACTCGACACACCAAATCACATATATTTAACACCATAGTACAGAGCGTAATGACATACGGCGCGGAAAACTGGGTGATCAACAAAAAATACAAAAGTAAAATACAGGCCACTGAAATGGAATACTGGGGGAGAAGTTGTAGAATTTCGAGAATAGACAAAGTAAGAAACGAGGAGATCAGGCAGCGAATGGGTATCAAGAAAGATACCTTAACATTGATTGAAGAAAAGAGATTGGTATGGTATGGGCATGTAAGAAGAACGGACAGAAATAGGTAGATACACAAGATAACAGAATGGAGCCCCATAGGTAGAAGGAAAAGGGGTAGACCCAGAAGATCTTGGAGGGATGAAGTAGATGAATCTATGGAAAAAAGAGGTATCGGAGATGAATGGCAAGACAGAGATGGATGGAGGCGTAGGTTGAGAGAAGCGAGACAGCGACAGCTGTAAAAACCCTATATATATATATATATATATATATATATATATATATATATATATATATATATATATATATATATATATATATATATATATATATATATATATATATATATATATATATATATATATATATATATATATATATATATGTATATATATATGTATATATATATGTATATATATATATGTAAATAAAATGATGCCGCCATACATTGGTAATAGGGATAAAATTACTTTAAGAATGTTAATGACTATAACACTAGAAACCGTACTGATTTCATCCTAGTCAATCGATGTAAAACTACACATATGTTGAATATCATTTTAAATAACGGTTTGTTGGAGTTCAATAGGCTGCCAAAAAATATTAAGGAGTGTGATAATTTAAATGCTTTTAAAAGATTAAACTTATGAATTATCTGAAATTTTAATCTGATATTTCTTTTATTATTGTTTTGTGTACTTTTGTAGTTATATACTGATTTAAATTTTCCTATTTTGCTACTGGCTCGTATATTTAAAATGTAAATACGATTGTTTTCGGTTACAGCTTTATGCTAAATAAATACGATTATTAGATTCCACCTGCGTTGGTTGTTGTATTTTTTGAAGGTTTGTTTTCATGATAGTCGGTACCACCACGAGCAAAAAAAAACTAGGTAAATATTTAGGTTTACAAAAAATATTGAATAAAAATAGGCCTTTACTGTAAAACTGAGAAGTCATATTAGTTCTAGTTTTTTTGCGCGCGATAGTACCTACTCTCATGTAAGAGATCTTACTAATAAGAGTTTAATGAAATTAAATACATAAATGTATACCTACATCATCGTGGAGATTACCATCTAAGATCGCCTTCATGAGAGTACTATCAGCGTCAAATCAAGCCTTTACTTAAAAGACGGATGTAGGGATTTTTTAAATCTATTTTTTAAACATATAAGATACCAGTCTCGTTCTTTTTGTTTTTTTTTTATAAAGCACAGATATATAAAACCTGTCTTTCTCAAAAATAAAATATTTTCATGTGCGGATAAGAAGGCAAACACGTCACAAACATAAAACAAAATAATGTGAAAATTCAAAAGCTGCTTGGCTGAAAAAAGCTACTTTCCTCACAGAATAACAGAAAACCTGTCAAATATGAGTTATTCTAGAATTTAGTTCAAGATATACTCAAGATTACTCTTTTTTTAAGATACTTTAGGTAGGTTGTTCTATATTTTTGCTATATTATATACCTACAATTTTTTCATATCTACAATAGAAAAAAATCAGATGTGTATAAAATATGTTTTATGTATATCGCCTCCTACCGCAGTGATGACTTCACCAACCAGCCAACCGATAGGTTAATTCCATCACACGCAAGTACCAAATACTGGGATAGAATTTTTGTAGTCCTGCAACCAATTGGACTACTGGACATTACCTTTCCAGTCTTTCTCATAGGCTTTTGGAAATAACCTCATAATTAAGTGAGGTCCACTGGTATCCTAAGTGTAAGATCCTATATCTTCTCACTATCGACGTTTCAACTAGTATAACTTAGTATGTCCTAACAAACATCCTATACTGTGGACGTTCCAATTAGTAACGTCGTATATGCTTGAGACGTCTTAAGGATGTCCCTTAGCTGAAACAGTATATCCCTAGGATTTACGCTATGTCCCGTCAGATATCCCGAGAATGTTTTACGGGCGTCCTTGTGCTATTTCGAATCGTTTATACAGGGGGGGTCAAAAGAAAAATATTATTTTTCGTGAAAAAACCAAATCAAATCAAATGGAACACATTGTACCTAAATCTGGTATTTTTGTGGTATACACATTTTTGCTAACAAAATACTGAACAAAAGACTGAGAACAAAATAAATATTGCCTGAACATAAAAAGTCTATAGAGACGAATTCAGTACAATTCTTTCAAGTAGTAACAACAATTTATTAAATGGGAGATATATGCTAATAGTTCCAGAAGAAGCAATTAAAAACTAAGAACAAAAAAGTTTCATTATATTTATTGTTGGAAATGTCTCCCAAATAAGGCCCTTCAACGGTATTTTACTATAGCACCCCGCACATATAAAGACCATTTTTCCTGACTGTGTGTTATCATAAAATGGGATCTATTGCTAACATAATAGTGAAAATTATGCCGATTAAAACAACCCTTTTCATGGAATGTCGATTCAACCGTAAATAGCACATATTTGAAAAAATCATTCTTCTCTCTAGTGTCCAGTCTCAAAATGTTGATATAATTTGATAATCATTTTCATTGAATTCTTGATAGAGTTGTACGTGATTAGGATGCATCTTATTTTTTCACAAAATATTATTCACAGAACTCTTAGAAATTATGGTTGCTTTTCTGTGACGCTAAATAATACTTGAAATTCATTTTCCTCATTCACTACAGTGTAGTCTTTCGTTCTTTTCATAAGCAACACTTCCAGTTCGATTAAAAAGTTTCATCAAATTCTCGACAGATCTTTTAGACGGCTGCCTTCTCTCATAATACGGTTTCTTGAAAATACCTTCTTCTCGGTAGATCTAAGTACGAAAATCATGTCCGCCATTTCTTCTATAGAAAAATTCATGATTAAGTTGGAAGTTAAACATCTAACAACAAATTAATTGAGAAAACTAATACAAAATTTACAAATAATTATATATTTGCATTTTTATGACCTATACAAATTTAGATTTGCATGGTCGGTTGATATTTGTAGTAATCTGAAACATTGTTATTATTATTATTACTGAACTAATGGATAGAAATTAACCATTTTTTTCACAAAATTTTGCTTTGTTTTGTGTAGTTCGTAAAAATGTGTATACCTAATAAAAATGCTAAAATAAGGTAAAGAGAATACTTAATAAAATTGAAAGAACATTATGAGGCGTGAATAATGGAAGTATAATATAGAAGATGTTTCATTTGATTTTTTCACATAAATTAATATTTGCCATTTTAAGTCACCCTGCATAAATGATCCGAACTAATATTGTAGGGTACAGGGTATTAGACAAAGGACATTTTTGGCGAAAAAATTTTCATAAATCCGAAAACACTAACTATAGCCAATAACAACCCTACATTGGGTAATTGAGCATAAAATGGAGTGTCTATGAATGCCATTTCATATAGGGTTTTGCATTAAAAAAACGTAAGTTTGTTTTCACACAAATTTATGGATCATTCTGAAGCTAATTTCCAATTCTTTCTTTTACTCTCATCGATAACCTTTGTAAATCAAATATTAGACATATATTACCTTGACACACTATTTGGACACCTCTATATTTATTTTCGGAGTGCCTAATAAAATTTTAACATGCGAATTTGATGTCCCGTTTAATTTTGAAGATGATGATCACTAACTTGTATTTGTAAATATAAACAGTTGACTTTTAGGAACCCTTTTATTGAAGGTAAAAGGCCTTCCATTTATGACAGGACAGGCAAAACATGACAATTTTTGTGCCTGCGATATTTTTTTTCGCTGGCTTGTTTCAGTAATTTTTATTAACAATCCGATACCTGCCATTTAAATCAAATAACATTCGAGAAATTCCACCGAAATCCTCGTCAAGATTCCCCGCACGCAACAAAAGCAAAAATAATAAAAAGCCGAACGTCCCGTGATATTGTTAATGATATCGACATGTCATTTATCGATGTGATGGAGTCGGGTGAGGGACCGACAATCCACTTGACCATGACAATGCTAATGGTGTTGAGTCCCATTGTCCTCAGCTTTTCAAAGTTAAAACGCCGCTAAGAGGGATACAATGATGTATTGTGCTCTATACAAGCACCTTCTTGTGTAACGTGCATGAAGCAGGTAGACCTCATTTCGATCCGGCGAATTTCGTTCGATAAGGCTGTTTAATATTGAACCCTCGGTATTATTGCTTATATGATAGATACGCGAAACGTATACGTCTTGTAGACTGTTGATAAGGTGATTAATTTTATATAGCTTAATGATAGATAGGTTCTTTAATTGTAGCACGTCCAAATCTACGATAAACGTATATAAGCAAACAGGCATTGAAATAAACAAACAAAAATTATGAAAAACGTATCGACCACAATCAAATAGTCCCCACTATCAAGAATTAGATAAAATCCTTTATTACTTGAATTGTATTGATATGGAATTGGGTTATATGAGCTTAGATCGAGAGAATTTTTTACACTTTTGGTGTATTTAAACTTCATAGTTCGAAGCAAAAAAGATCATTGGTATAAACTAAAAACAATAACAGACCCACAATTGACTCCGTGCATTGCGATTCGTAAACTTAACATTTCACTATTGCAAAAAACTGCTTCATTTCTATCATAAAAATAAGCAACTAAGCAATCTTAACCGCGTCTGAGGGACTCAGTCATCCGAGACAATATTCAGGCCCCTCCTTTAGCTCATCCAACCTCAAACAATATATAAGCAGATACAGAGTAGAATGTCAGCTCTGAAGAAGCCAACAGGATGGTTCGCGAAACGCCATCAACAACCGACGCAGAATGAATCCAGAAGATTTTTTTTAACAATTATCTCTAAACAGTGCCTAATGTCCGAGAAAACTAATTTTGAATAAGTTATAGGGTGAATATAAATATATAAAGAGATCGTTTAACTTATCTGTGTTGTAATAATAGAGTTTTTATGTTCTTTAACAAAGAAATCAAACCTATTTGAAGAGTTTCCACCCCGTGCTAAATCATTAAAACTTTTGATGCATTAACAATAGAATTTTGAAGTATTTAGTACTTTGAATATTAATTTAAATTGAACTCCACTTTAAAATATTTAGCTCTTTGTATGGCCTGGTTGTGTTAGTTAGTCTCTTATAGTCAAATAATCTTTTCACTATTTTGTTTTGTAACACTTGCATCCTTTAAAAACTGGTTTGGTTACGAGTTACAAGTTACAATATAGGAAACAAATCATGAGAAAATTAATATAGATCATGTTCTTATTTTTTCACCATGAAAAACGGCTACAATTAAATATTGCAGCAATAATGCTCGTTCCAACTTAATTTGTCATCCATAGTAAACCCTCAATATTTAAAATTGTTTGCATGTTCTAGAGGTGTATTATTATTATATATAGTATTAGTAGAGTATATAGTATTTACATTTTGTGTTTGTCTATTTTTCGCTTAAATACCATAAGTATTGTCTTAATAATATTAATTTTTAATTTAGTAATATATAACCAATTCACATTTTTCCTGAAGCCACTTCATATAGAATATTATCATCTGCCCCTGTGTACACTAAAGCATTGTCATCAGCGAAGGTAAGAGGCGTGCTATGGGATTGCCAAGTTTAAAGCTTGAAACATAAAGAGGGTATAACAGAGGCCCCAAAATAAACTATGCGAAGAATTTCACTATATCATTTAATATTGACAAGTTTGACAAGTTAATTTAAAAAAAAAAACTCTATATATATTTCACATTGAAGAAATTTAGTCAATCTAATTATGTTTAGCTTTTCATATTTATGTGATTTTTATTGTATAATGTTTAATTATAGATTATAAAAACGGTTATTCTATGCACATTCCGGACAAACACTTTTATATCTAAGAAATGGCTAAAGAAATGTAGAGTATAATGTTGATAATTTTTGATCAGAATTTAATTTCGAATTGATTTAAATGAAAAATTACGAGGTGTTCCATTTGCAAAAAAAATAGCAATCAAAATGGTCAAAAACAAATATTTATTAGTACAATCTGTATAGGTTTAGGAAATGTTCAAGGGGCCATAGATAGCTCCACGGTCCAAGTTATTCCTGTATTAATGGTCCCGATAAGTTGCTTTCTTATATTGAGTAATTCCATTTTAAGCAAACTAGCATCTGACATTTGTTCTGTTCGTTTTGGATTTAACAAAAGTTGTTCAGAGTTTTATTAAGAATCCAAAAACAAATAGGGGGTTCGATTTAAAATAACAAACCTGATATTGACCGTGATTACATGACTATTTGAAAGTATTTTTAAAGAATGCATTAGCTGCTCATAAATACTCATAAATACTAATGTTGACATAAGTCTAACGGGTCACCTACACGAATCACTCTGTATATATTGCGTATTGCTTTCAATAAAACTAAAAGTCAATTTCCTGAATTTTTGTCGGTCCTGTTGTTACTTACTAAATGTAATATTGCACATAATAAGTTTTACAACTTTAGCTACACTTAATTATGTACGAGTGTTTGAAACTTTTGCCGTAATAGAAGCCCATGCAATAAAATTACAGCAATATGTTAAAATGGTGTATGGGTATGGCAATATGATTGCTATTCAGTAAATCACAGATTTAATAACTATTTAAATATCAAATATGGCACTTTATTGCATGAGTCAATACCCTTAACAACGAAACTAACTTTTTAGATAATGACATAATTACACGAATTTTATAATAGAAAATATAGCGGTGAATGTCTAACGAACTCCTATAGACGAGGTAAAAAAACTCCAAGTTTCAATCAAATTTAAATGAAATAGTCGTTATCGATCTGAAGTTTTAAGCGGTCAAAAGTCGCAGCATTTTTATTTACGCGCCCTGTACCGTCGTACCACAATGACAAGTTAGTCTGTAGCCCCCCCATCGCTCGCTACCTTTAAACTTTATAAGAAAGAATTCATATTTTCGATCATCGATTTTTACGATAAGATCTACATTTTTTTCTATAGAGACCGGGTCATTTATAAGTCTACGCCGCATCAACATGAACATTTTTCTTTGCATTATTTTTTATTGTTGTACTTTTTTTAACGTGTTGCCGTTCTCGAGGTATCCCATTATGCGTTGCAGGTTGCTGCCGGTGATAAATTAACAACGCCAAGGTTATTCTTATGTTTTATTAAGAATAATATTTGTCGGTGGTGCTCGGGCGCACTAGAAATGACGTTTTATGATATGGAGGTGGGACACACCAGGTCGTTTGTTTGTTTATGTTCTGCATCATATCTCCAGTTAAATATTGAAGAGTTAGATAAAAAATTTAAATCAAAAAGAAGCAAGTTTTTTATTTATTATCTCCTGGTAATAGAAGAAAAAATTAATATAAATATATGCAATATATAAATATAAAGTATAAATTATAATATTCACGTTTAAATTTTAGGTCAAATTACCAAAACTCAATATAAACGTGTATAATCATGGATTATGTTATACAACGAATAAGAATGCGCACGATAGCCGTGCAACTATTGCTTCTATGTTAAAATAAAATTAATAAAAAAAATAAAATAAAATCATATCAGACTTGAACACAGTAAAATTATTATGTACCTTCTTTTTAGAACAAATTTCCTTCAGAATTAACGAATTGGCAATGCCATTGAATCAAAAATATCGGTACTTTCGATGCAAAAGTAAATAACTTCCTAAAAAGCAAAGATTTTATTGGGTGAGTGGTATTAATATTTGGTATATTTGTATTCAATGTTTTATTTATATTCGCATTGTGCGTTTAAACTTTAAAATTGACGGAACCAGATTCTGTAGAATGCGAATGATACCACTGTCATAGCAGATTACCTAGTTCAACGAAGCATTTGGACATTCTAAGACCAAGATGCAGGTACCCGTACAAGGTTCATCGGTCAAATACTTGGGTGCTATGATCAGTGACTATAGCCAGCCATAACTATAATGAAAAGGTTCTTTATAAGATCCGATCTCACCCTATATAACTCGGAATGTGTGTCCTCTGTCCGGGATATGCACGCTGGACATTAGAAATAAGTATGGAAAAAAGTATGCTATGTACATTCTCAACAGGATGCAGAAACAAAAACTGCTGCTCGTCATAAAAGACTGGAAAACTCTCGTACCTAGGGAGATGGTTGTAAACGGTTGCGGTTGATGCTACAAGACAAGATACACGGAGGAAGCAGAATTCATGGTTGACGGGCATGCGCAGATGGTTCAGCTGCAAATTTATGGATGTTTCAGGCTGTGGTCTCAAATCGACTTTGGCCTTATCGACCGCCAACCGGAAGACGGCGAAGAAGGAGAAGAATTATAATTTTAATTGTCTTAGTGAAGCCGATGGTTTCGTGCTTAATTCCTTTCACTTCAGTGAACAATTAAGAAACACTACATTAGATCCAAAAGCTTCGAGATAGAGTCCCTCTTTACTAAAGTCTGTTCGTGAAGCTCTCAACATTATTTCTTTCTCAACCTAATTAGAACATGCTTGTTTGGAAAATATTTTTATTGCAAGAGTGAAATTTATGAACAAATATCAGGAACTGAGAAGAAAGTCCCCGATATATGGAATTTGATGATACTTTTGTTATTTGACTTCATGGTAAAGAATCATACATTTGACCACAGAATTAGAAATGGTTAATAATCTCCCATTCGTAGATATTTGTTCTTAGATTATTAAGAGAAAATTAGACCTAACATTGGGTCATTCTGTTGACAGAAAACCTACGCACACAGATCTACAGCTCACTGAATTGCAGAATTAAAACCCCTTATCCACTGTTCTCTCTAATAGTTTCAACATTTCAACATATTAAACGTTCGATCACAAAATTCACTTCACAATCTCCCAAAAATGAGTGCGGAACCATTCCCAAACGTGCCATGGCGTGTTATTACTTCTTCAGTTCTTAAGAAATAAAATGTTAAAACCAGATTTATGACTTGTCCAAAAATCTCTCAACTTCTTCACTCCGCCCCCTTGAAACAGTATATAAGCAGTTACAGAGTGGAATCTTAGCCAGTTTCGGCTAAGCTCTGAAGGCGCTAACAGGATGATCGGCGAAACGTCCATAAGTTTGATGTATCAACAGGAGCAATCCTTTAGCGGTTCCTAAATTATTGTCACACTCATTTTCATACAATAGAAAGTAATGCAACAGCGGCGTTACCAAAGGTAGTTATTAATTTGCCGGAAATTAACTAAACTAACTATAACTCCCATGTCCGTCTACCTGCCACTCTCGTGACCATTGACAAACATCATCCTTTGAAATACAATAAGGAACACACAGCTTAATAGTTCAATAATGATTAATTAATTAACAAATAATAATATCTAAAATGCAAAGCTCTCTGTCTTTCTCTACCGTCCCACCTTCACAACACAAAAGCTTCGACGGGGAACACTCGAGCTGGAATTAAGAAAATACGTATAAATCAAGGCCATTCAACAGGTGTTTTTTCGCCTTTCGAGCAGCGAATCCATTTGAAAGCTCCCGATTTGTTAAAATAACAAACCGCTTTCAGATATTGTGAGAACTGTCGGATTTTGGAAACCGAACAAAAGAACATAAAAGGTACAATTTTGTTTAAAGGATGACGCTTTTAATGAAACGGATATTATTTATGAATGAACGGCTTTTTTTCGGGATATTTATTTTCCTTTCTCCGGTCTGAGATCATTATTTTTTATGGTAATGCGGCTTCTGGGTTAACAAAGCAATAGGCAATAGATTGTTTGAGTTGTGGAGAAAGACTCGTTTTTTGTTACTAAAGTGCTGGACACTCGAAGCGAATAAAAAAAATGCGTATCTGAAAAAATAAAAAACAGATTTGGAGAACAACTTCTTTGTATTATACTAATTTTACTACACATAGTATTTAACTACGCAATGTGTGATTTTTGCAAGCTTAAACCAAATAAATATAGTTAATTCGAACGTTTTTACCGGTTTTCAAGATGTACCGGGTGTCCAAAACATATCGAAACGGTGGGACAAAAATCAAAAATGTCTTTAAATATTAAATTAAAAAACTGTTCAATAACATTAAACATGACTCTATAGAATTTTTCAAGTAGTTTCAATATTATGAATCTGAGTTTAGAGTGTAACATATTTCTTCTATTTCCTACTCTAATTACGTACTGCTTAAAAGTACAAGAAATGTCACTGTAATACATCAGCTTCATTAAAAACTGTATGTATCCAATACCAATTCCTATACTTTAGTCAGGGGGAGGAGCGAGCGAGCACTAATCTATTTCTAGGACCAAGAGTGCTTATTAGTTACCTTTTTTTAACCCCCCAGTTACTAATCTATAAGTTCAAATTGACTCAAGGATTGACTTGCATATCATTTCTTTGGCCCTTTTCGTAATACTGTCATGCCAGAGTGACTTCTGCAAAGCCGTTAGCATATAACTGTAAAGAAGAGGTCTGCCATTAGTAAACCCTTCACATGTTCTTTTCTATCCTTTTAATGCATTCACTAAGTTGAGTTTGCAAAGTTGAGGAGCTATCGGGTATTATCTTCTCAATCGTTTAATAAACAATTTTTTTCGACTGGCGTTTTCCTAGTTTAACGGAACTTGTACATCCCCAGTTTTTTTTTTTTTCATAGAAACTTGTCTCATACAGTTTTCTTTGAGTGTTGGCTATAACTTGTTCCATCTTATCGTAAGCCTTTTGAGGATCTACTCGTACGCGCGGTGCAAAATTTATTGCATTCTTCGGGTCCACACAGGGAAGTAGTCACCTAACTCACAACATTAATTTCTCTGCAGTTTTTGTACCGTTCCCTGCCTCCTTTGTTTGCAGGCGTTATAACTGACTGTCTCCATTCTATTTTAGGATCTTCTCCTGACTGAATCCTTGCGACTGCTTCCGTTAGCATATCCCCATATTAGTTGCTCCATTCATGTATGCTAATGGAACTAATATTATCGGCGCCGCGATTATTTGTTTATAGAGATTTGATTTGATTACATTGCTTAGATGATCTAGTATCCCCCCATGTTACAGCCTTTATTCTCACACACTTTATTTGAGAACTACTGGTTTCTTGAATTTCCTATCTGTGTGTCGTGTTTTCATTTGGTATTCCATACGATCTTCTGAAGACATTTTCGCGGGCCAGATGTGATATGTCTGTTTTTTTCTGATCTACGTAGGGGATTAATTCTTCTTTGCAGCACTGACACTTGTGTTTCTGTTTCAAAGGTTTTGGTCCTACGTGGTGGATGGTTATGGATATTTTACATTGGAAGTTCATATTGATGACGAAGTAGCCAATTCGGCCATTTACTTTACTTTACTATTGAGATTATCTACTTTCGTTAACTGAATCCATATAGATAATTTGCCAGGACTTAAAACTATGAAACTGAGTTTTCTTGCCCAGGTTTACGGCATCATTTGAGCTGCACACTATAATCAAGATGTAACTGCTCTTTAACTAGCACTAAACTGCTTCCATATACTAAACAAAAAAAACGTTAAATTTGAAATACGAAAAAGAATATATACACCAAACCCTTATAAAAACATGTTTTTTTGTATTGTAGGTATGGACTTTTCTAATGATCATGATTTGAAATGACCATCGACAGTCCCTTTAAAAAACTAAATAAGTGTGCGTTTCTAATAAAGCAATTACGGAACTCTGTCGGCATAAAAGAACTAACTACAGTTTACTTTACAATGTTCCCTACAGAGAATTATGGGGAGGAATTTTGAAGATACAGCATTTTATCTGTTACTGCAGCTTTTATATTAGAATTTTTTACTTTTAAATATAAAAGTAAAGTAGAACCAATAACTCGTACAACATTTGAGTCAGGAGCAACATCCTATTAAATATGCACCATCATAAGTTTTACAAGAAATCTCGTTTTATTTGGATAGGCACTACTCAAACAGTTTGAAGCTTTTATGAAGGTTGGTAAATAGAATAGAATAAATGTTCTCATCTTTTCATGTTTCTAACTCTATAAGTCTATACCTTTACATCTTTTTTGTTTGATTTTAATGTTTTATTAATAGTTCTTGTATGTAAGTTTGTTCTGTTATTTTATACACTTCCTTTTAATCAGAGTAATTTTGCATTATTCAATGTTTTGATTTTTGGATTGATTTGTTTTGGCCCTATTATATTGTTTTTTCATGTTGTTTTATACACTCGTATTAGTTTTATTTTAAATATGCCACTTTCTTATTGATTCCTATGCAGCTAGATCATAGACGGACTAATTTTTTATGTATTATACCATTTTTGTTTTCTCTCGAAGCCTGGTCGAGAGACCGGGCCGCGGGGGGCTGGAGAGTTGCTCCGGGAATGAGGCAGGCGAGGCTTATGATGGATGGGCCCGCCCTTCCTCGGACCAGGGAGCTGCTTAGACTGACCAGAAGGGAGTGTAGAGCACTAACAGGGGCCTACACAGGACATTGCAGGGTTAGGAGGTATCTTTGCTTGCTAGGCATTGGAGACGACCCGGAGTGTAGGTGGTGCATGGAAGGGGAGGAGACCCCGTATCATCTGCTCACCGAGTGCCCTGCCTTGACATGGGCAAGATTGGGAGTCTTCGGAACGGCCCTGATCCATCCGGACTCAGTGTACGGTATTGGACTAAAGGAGTTGCTGACCTTCTACATGAGGGGCGACATTCTGGACGCCCTCTAGAGCGGCCTAGGGGCACAACGGGCCCATCTGGTGGCCTAAGTGTTTGGACGCCCGCGAGGGCGCCCCCCTTTAATACCAATACCAATACCAATACTATATTGTTTTTTCATGTTCTTTTATACACTTGTCTTAGTTTTATTTTAAATATGCCACTTTCTTATTGATTCCTACGCAGCTAGATCATAGACGGACTAATTTTTTATGTATTATACCATTTTGTGCCCTAGGTTTTGACGATGCAGCTATTATTAAAAAATATATATAATTTTTTAGTTAATTTATTGAGTATTAATCAATCTTGACCATTTTCTTTTATTTTGTGATCTTATTACACACTTACTTTAATATTCGCGCAATTTTATTTTTACTAATTTTTTCCTTTAGTGTTTGCGTCTGCGCGATGGATTCTTTGGCAATGGTGAAAGGTATTGTACTTTTTTCGTTTTCGTGTCTTTTGTTTTGCGTTAGCACAGGAAGTGTGGGCAAATATTAACCTACGCAAAGGTACTTTTCAAGTTAAACCGACAGCACACATTTCCTTTAAAGCGTTTGTTGGCCGAGTCAATATTTGTGAGGTATAATCGGAATTTAAGTCAAGCATAATATTTGTTACCCTCGCCTTCCTTAAACCTC